AAGGCTGCCAACCACACAGTTATGTTAGCAGCACAATGGCAACCAAAAATCACCATTGCATCTGTGTATGGTAGCTGCCTCGGGTGCCTGGCCAAGCTGCTACACCTCTGGATCAATGCAAACACAAAGCATTACACTGGAGATAATTAATCTAATTCTCACTGCATATAATATGTATATAGAGGTAATCATTTGGTCTTATCACTATCTAAAGTATGAAGTGTACTGAATGTGTACTTTATGGCCATTATCAAGAATAGAGTATAAAGGCTTTGCAGACTGCTTTAGGATAAATGCTTTATTTTCTGTACAGGCAGTCCTCAGACTTATGACACAATTGGTTCCCGAAAACCGCATCTTAAGTTGAAACGTTGTAACTCAGAACCCATTTTCCCATAGGAAACAATGTTATAAATGAGGGATATGTTCCTGAACCAAGGCCTGATACCCTATTTTCACCAAAAATACCCCAGAATTTTGTACTCAATCAATTTTAGATTAGTAATATAGCTACATTAATGTATTTATATTGTAAATAGCAATCATATTGATTTGGAAAGACTTCTTTGAAGTGACTTTGCTAGACTTTTTGAAGGGCTCTTGGCTGGAGTCTTCTCAGGAGTCTTGGCTGCAGGTTTTTCTGGAGTCTTGTCTGCTTTCTTAAAGGCAGTGTCCAAGGAAGTTTGGGCAGATGTTCTCTAGGGAGATGGGCGACACAGCAAACTTGTTTGCTGGCATGGCATGGTGTCGTATCAAGTGTTGTCAAGTCAAAACTGACATCAGAAAGTTGGAAAAGGGCATCAATTTATAAACGTTGTAAGTGCGAAATGTTGTAACTCAAAATGTTGTAAATAGAGGACTGCCTGTATTCTAAAATTAAACAATGGACCTACAAACAGGATGCATCTACATGTGCACTTTGCTGCAGAGTAGACTAATTAGTTCCACAGTAAATAAAGCATCACAGTCTACACATGTACCTGTGAATGACGCATGCTTCCGAAGGCTGGGGGGAGGCACGGTGACTGCCTGCAGACAGTGGTGGCGGTGGCAAGCGGGGAGCTCCCATAGGCAGCTGCAGTGGTATCAGAGGCGGGGAGGTGGATGGCAAGCGCTAACCAGTGGTCAGCAACCACCTGCAGACACTGCTGGCAGCGTTGGTGCCAGTGATCGGTGGCTGCCTGCAGATGCTGCCAGTGGTGTCAGCGGCGAGGGAGGGATGGTTAGCAGTGACCACCCACAGGCAGTTGGTGGTGTCTTTGGGTGGCTGTTGACTGCTGGTTGGCATGTGCAGTGCCAATATCAGGGTGTGCGTGCACCCCCTACACATCGCCAATGTGTGTACCAGTATTAGGGTGCAGTAGACTAATTAACTCCTCCATAAGATAGTACTGTTGGGGACAGTACTATCTAATGGCTGTCATTAAGTGTGGTCAAATATATGTGCAGACAGTGACCTCTGAGTGCAAATTGTGCCTGATCAGCCCAGGCAACCAGGAGCTAGACCCCTGGGTCCTGCCAGCCCTTCCACCACCTGATGCTGCCACCTGGACTGTGTCCCCTGCCAGTCCAGGGCTGTTCTGTTCAAGTTGCTGTTCTTGGGCACACGTGTAGACACTGCGCCTGGAGCAGTGTACTCCAGCACAAATGCCTTTGGAGTACATCATGTTGTGTTAATTGCACATGTAAATGTATCCACAGAGTAGCTGATTTAAAGCAGAAATGGAAATGTACTTTTAATATATAAGATAATCACTGCTAAATTTACAAATGTATTGAAAAATGGCAATATGAATTACAATATGGTATGCTGAGCTTTCTGATTTAAAAAAAATTACAAATGGCTGAATATATTACATATTTTTAATAAAATCCATTATCTTTCACTTCTCCATCTAACCATATAAATAAATTAATTGTGTGTAATATCTAATGTGTATATTATATTGTGTGCATATCTAATGTGTATATTATATTAAAATCCATGTCCACAATTAGCAGGATTTCCAAAATACTACTGGTAGTTGGGCATCTTGCTCTCAGAGAAAGTCAGTTAGAGTTAGGTATCTAACAGCCAATATATGCCTGTGAAAATATTCCTATTTACAAATAAGTGTGTAAGTTACAACAAGATTTAGAAAAAATGTGGAATTTGGCTCCAAGAAGCTCTTTTACCATATCTTCACACATAGTGAGGGAATGTTTTCCCTTAGATGTAGATTACTAAAGCCTTTTTAGTTTTATGTTATTTCTAGGTATTGATGACCTATTTTCACTTCAGTTTGTCATTGAGAAGAGAGACTTATTCTGTGAACATTAATTACATTTTTCATCACATAGGATATGTATTTTGTTCCCATGTCTTACAGAATAAAGCAATTATGGAACGTGTAACAAACTTGTCAGATACGGTAGTTGGTCTTGAATCATTTATTGGCTCTGAGAGAGAAACCAATCCATTATACAAGGATTACCATGGTAAGTTCCATCTTTAGCAATGCAAAAAGTTTACCCTGAGTGCTTCTAGGGCACTTAGCAGCTTACCCTCCAATTGGAGTATCTGCCATTAGGTAGCATTTGATTTCATTTTGGAATATACCTCTTAAATGTTTCTCCTTGCTAACCAGTCTTGAGTTAGGCAATTTTTCAGTAAAGTGCATTAAGGCTGCAAAGAAAACATGGCAACTCCTTGCATGTTGTCAAGCCATATTACTGAGGCATGGCTCAATCAGATGTACATCTCAACAGGCAGGCTTTGGGGAATTCACATGCAGAGGAGGCTTGAAAATCATCTGACCAGTGAGCTGAACTCGTCATGAAATCAATAGTTTTGATCTGCCAAGTTTTAAATAGAGAAGATGGGGGAAAATAATTTATTATATTAAAGTGAATGAATTGCTAAATGATACGGCATGCAAAAATATGTCTAAAAATATTATTTACTGCTTACTGCTTTTAAATTATGGCCATTATGCTATCCGGTGTAGTAAAAGAAGAAATTTGTTAGTTCAAAAAATATAATAAACCTTTTTTTTATAGGCACTTACTATTTTTCTGGTCTTTCAAATGATCTATCTTCAAAATTAATTGGTATTTAATCATGTAGTTCTTTTCAGAAAGATTTTATAAAAACTTTTTGCAGCAAAGCTATTTAAAGCTATCTGCAAGATTAGAAGTTATACATAGCCCAAGCCAGTGAATAACAAACAGTTTTAGCTAATCCAGAGTGGTGCTCTGAGTGTGCATAAATTACAGCTATTATTATTGTGATACTACTGTAGTTCCATGGAAACCTCTAGTCTAAAGACTGAACTGCTTATTTGAAGCCTGCTGTAAACATGTAAGAATGTGGCAATGTTTTTTTTTCCATGCTACAGAAAATGAAGCAAAGGTGGTGTTGAGGAATAGTGTGTACAGCTGTATGTGTTGATGTTCTACTTTAATAAATTAGAGTACAACCCTTTTGAATAAAGAAAATGTAATGTACGGTTGATTGTCAAAAGTAGCATCTGAAAACCCAGCTGCAAGGAAAAATGCTTCAAAATAATTTGCCTGTTTATTTTTCAAATTTTGTATGACTTTTGTGACATTTGTTCATTCTGATATGATTCCGTTAATTTTTTATTTTTTCTTGGTAGTGTCTTCTAATGAAAAATATGACTTTCTCAGTATCTATTTGCTACTTTAAAAATTCATATTAAACAATTGGCTTGTAAAAAGCCAATTTTATTGATTAGTTAGGTCTTCTTATGGATAACTTTTTTTATCTACCACTAAGAATTCATCAGGTAATGTAGATCAGAAATTGTCTAATGGATTTAGACATTCTTTCCTAAGAACTTTCCTATATGATGATGTATTATTAACTGCAGACAATGAAAGATTGTGGGTCTAGATAAACAAAGTTTATTAGACCTTTTTGATAACATTGCAATTTCTTTTTAAAAATTCCTTAATTTTGCTCATTTAATAATTTTACGGGGCCTACAATTTCACGTTGTTTGTGAAAGGCCAATAAAAAGGTAAGAATGGTACTTATATTCCTTTACTAAATATGTATAAAAATACTTAGACGATTGTCTTGGGTTGTACCTGCTCCATCAGAACTAAATTACATGCATAATGCTTAGTGAATTGGGACAAAGGTGGTTTGTTGGGTTTTTTTTTTACTTTAAAATATTTTTCAAAGAATATGAACAAAAATTATAGCTGGTATAAAAGTTACGCTTGTTTTTAAAACAATATTTGAAATAAGGAAGTTGCTTATCTTATGTCATACTTCATGCTGTATTTAATTTTTTTTTTCTTTACAGCTGCTATTTTCAAGAGAGATCCATGTCTAAATGAATGTAACACTGCATTTGCCAGTGTTTTCATTTAGACACTTTGGATTTGTGACTATCAAATGTAGGCCAGTAATTGAGAAGCCTTGTAGAATATTTCTAGTTTTCAACTGTAGAGAATGACCCCTGGCTTATTCACAAACTATATTAGGCTGCACAAAAACCATCCAACGTCCTTGTCAGAAAAAATCAACTTGAGTTTCCACTGACAGAATGCAGAGCTCACAATGTACATAAGTGTACCGTTGTAAAAACTGTAGCAGCTATATAAACCTCTCTCTGTTGTGTTGGTATGATATAGGAGTTAAATTGTATCAAAGAGTGTGTTCTAAAATGCTGTTGTTAACAGCAGGGTTTTTTTAAAGTCATTATCAAGGTGCACAATGAAATACTTTTCATTACAGCTTCACTGGTTATCAGTAACCCATAAGCCTTGTTTTGCTGGCTGCTTACTGGTGCATTTAATAAAATAAAGATCACTCAGTGGTGCCGTGGGCAGCATGCAAGGTGATAGCCATATTTGCTTACTGTAAATACAAGAGAAAATCACACACAAACCGGCTGTAGTTTTGACAAGTATTAAGATCCCTCTTTACATCTGTACTTCTGTAGCAAAGTGCAATTAGTTTTCCTCGCACAAGGATTTCTGTTTATCTTATTCTGCTTGATTACTTGAGTATAATCGCACCGTTTGCTTCATTGCTCCTGGTAGTAAGCTCCAGTTTAAAAAGGGGAGGATGAGTGTGTGTAAATATACAGAATTCTGCTGTAAGACTCTTTAATTTATGCATCTGGATAACAGCATTTCTTTTTTTTTTTCCTTCTTTACTTTTATTTCAACAAGGCTTGATTCATATACACCAGATTCCTCAGCTTAATAGCTTGATCTGTGATGTATCAGACACGAAGGACCTGGCTTTTAGATTAAAAAGGAAGCTATTCACAGTTGAGGTAAGAGAACCAGTTTTTTTCACTATATTTAGAATGTGAAAAATGGAGCTAACTTCTCTCTTTTTTGAAATATGTTATATTTGCATCAGATACTGTATGTCTATTTAATTAGAATTTTCCTATTGAGAATTGCTTTATAGGATATAATGTTGTGTAACTAAAAATGTTCCCTATGTTACACCAGTTTAGACTATGCATATACAGTTTATTTTGTTTTAAAATGTGCATAGAAAGTAGGCCACAACCTTCAATAACAAAGCATGACATATTTCTAAGGATGTCAGTAACATGTTTAATTAAATGTTAATGACTTGCTCTTACTTGTGTTAGTGGGTGGGAAAGAAGCTACATGTTATTACCCGAGTTGAGAGAATTTAATGTATAACACTGTCTAAAATTGTGTGTGGCATGAGGGATAAGTGTCCTTATCAGTATTCAGAAGCCATTTTCTTTGCATTACTGAAATCACCTTTAGCTCTTTTATGTCATTTTAAACACAGTATCATTTTCACTAATGTCCTTAAGTAAATTTTCTACTAAATTTAAACTTTTTTCCTGTGACCTTTATTCAGACAGTCCTGATAGAAGGCAGCAATATAAAAGATGTATTTCATTTTAATCTTTCTAAAGAGCAAAATGAACATAGAACTATTAAGCAATTAGAGTAGATGTATTTATTAACCAAGTAAATGCTCAGAGAAAGGAGATGGCTTTTTGGGTGATGTGATAGTCATCGGTACAGTCTGCACAATTTTTTAACAAAGACATAAAACAGCCAAGCAGCCCTGACAAACCATTTTGTTAAATCTCTTTTCAAATGAAAAGCTCTTAAGCAGGCCACTTGTCTTAACTGCTTGAAACCATAAAAAGAGAGAATTGCCACCAATAAATTAGCATATTTTTTACTTCATCACCAAATGATGGTCAATGTGCCTTGGCACTGCTTTGGTGTTTGGGACTTCACCCTTAAGTGACCACTTTGGCCCTTATTTGACCCTCTGCCCTCTTTAGCTGGCCACTTGATAAGGTAACTTAAGAGTTCTCTCCCTTTTTTCCCCTCTCTCCTCTTCACAATTGCAAGTAGCCCTAACCTATAAATCATTGAAAGGGCCCTATCAAGTGACAAATTAAGATGCCCTCCTCCTAATTAATGGTCATCAATGTCCTTAATTATCTAATCCTATTGAGGGTAGTTAATAGTTAATCAGGCAGCCAGTTCTTCAAGCAGGTCATCTCTGCATGAGTGCTAGAAGTTTTTCAACTGGAGACACTCCCTTGAAAAGCCATTTAAAGGCAATTGCATGAAGAAGCCTATGCTTTTTTCCCAAACACAAATGCTTTACTTTTTTTTTCATTTCTCAGAAAATACAGTTAATAGAACCAAGCAATGTAGTGATTTAAACTATTTTAACATCATTTAACTTTATCAAGACTATCAGGCTTGTTTCCTCTATACTGAAAATGAGAGAACCTATTTTTCATGCTAGGTTTTAAAATACAGAGTTGTAGCTTCAGTAATATAAGCAGACATACCACATCATTTTCTGCTTTACTGAATTCACACTTACTTTAGCTGTGCATTAGAATATTTGACTGTTTCTTAACATGAAACCTAAATAAGAAGATTGGAGCTTTATATTTCTATAGAACCAAACCAAGAGGCTCCATATAAAAATTACATTAGCCAATGAACAAAGGAGTCTGAATTAGTCGTGTAATAGAATCCTTGAAAAAAACTGATACTGTACAAATATGTGGATGACCATTTTAAAAATTTCCGCCATCATTGTTCAATTGGGACCCCTTTTGAAGCCCATTTTGAAAACCCTTTAAGTTCTTATTGTGGATAAACTTTCTACAAGCCACACTGAGGCAAGCCAGTTCTTTTTTTAACAAATGGAATCATTATCCTACTGTGATATTCCTCTACATCAAACTATATAAACTACTCCTTTCCGTATTAAATGGGAAGGCCAAATATATTTTTCTGCCCAGGGCAAGAAGGTTTTTTGGAAAAAGGGGGGAAAATAAAAAATGGAATTTCTGAATAGAATAGTTCAAAACTGGTTACTACAGTCAGGAAGTGATGGGTCAGCAATTTATTTCCAATCAAAAACATAAGCCCAACCAAAGAAGGTATATTATTACAAAACAATGTCATTTGAACAGATACAGTTTAGACATTTATAGTCTTGTTTGGTAAAATAAGAAAATATATTTAAATATATTAACTATTTTAGACAGTATCTCAGAATTTTTGTAGGAGAAGTGGTTAATCTGAAGTTGGGCACAAGGCAAGGCAGGGTGAAATCTTGGGGAACAAATAGAGGAGGTGCCACCAAAATCTTTGTACAGACAACACCCACTTAGCACTATTTTGATGTAGCGCTCCAATTGGTGTAGCGCTTTAAATTGATACCTAATTTCACTAAGCGCTCAGCAAGTTTTGTTATAGCAGTCACCATCTTGAGTCATTAAAAACACTTGTGGTCGCCATCTTGGGTTGTCAAATACTTTTGGTTTCGCTTAACACTTGGTTTTTCAGAAACCAATTAAGAGCACTAAATGGGGGTTGCCTGTATAGTTTAGTAAACCTATTTGGGATGGTGGTGTTGAACTTTGAATGCACATACCTAAAAACAGATTATAATTGCTGAGAGAGGAATTCATACCATGTGACTTGTGACACATTGCTTCAAGGAGGTTTTCGTCACTAGACTATTATTTCTCAGTGCCAACATGTGTAATGTGTATAGGAAAAAAAGCCTTTTATCTCCTGATCGTAATCACAGAAAAGCTGTCAAATTTCCTGTATCATCATACTGTCAACTTTTAATGTACCTACTGTGAATAGCAAATCTGGGACTCACCAGTAGGATTAACTACATACAGTTTGGCTCTCATCAATGAGAAAGCAGAGGTGTCATACCTGTTTTAGATTTTATTGTTTCATAGAAACAGTCATAGCCTTTAATGGCACAGTTTAGTTATTAAATGTATCACACAATTTACCAAAGTTAAAATAGTTGTTTTACAAAGATGCGTCTTAGTTCTAAGGTTTGGCAAGTTTTTAGGTTTGGCAACTTTTTGGTTAGCTTTTAAAGATATGCTCCAGATGAGTCTTCTTAAATAATAACAACTATTTGTAAAATGGTTATATGATAAAAAATATAGTACTTTCTAGATTCCCCCAAAACCTTTACTTGTTTAGTGGCAATATATTATACATAAAATATCAGAAAAAAACTATCTAAAGTGCGTACTACTTTAAAGGACACACAATGTTAAGTTAGCCTGTCTAATCCTATTTCTTCCCACTTTGGAATCTTAATTAGAAGGAGATAAAAACCATCATTTGACTAAATTATTGTCTTGAATCTGTAGCGAAAGGTATAATCCGCAATTGGGCCAATTAGTGTACCCCATAGTTAGCTATGCTGAGGCAGGCAACTTGATTAGATCTGACACCAGCCTAGTTCCCACTGTTGTTTTGCCAGGTATGATGGTCAGACTTCAAAGGGTTTGAGGCATCAGCAGGGCAAGGTTTGGAGGCCAGCTTAGGTCCGGTTGTTAATCTCTCTGCTAAAACCACAGCAGCCCTCGCACAAAACAAGCTTACACGACACAATCATGCGGTATTAAAGTTTGGGTTGAGTCATGCCAATTTGCCTTTGATTTTCTGATGATTGACCAAAAGATGGCTACATAACTAGACACATACTGAAAGTTTACTGATTAGATAAGTTCCCCAAATATTTGAAATATTTCTTGATTTCTCAGTTAAATGATATGACAACCTATTTAATGTAGTCAAACTTTCTGGTAGAATATGGCTTGAAATTACTTTTTCTTTTCTCTGTGCTTCTAATTGAGTCCAACTTTTATCACATTTTAATAGGTTTTTTTAAATAAATTAATCTCACCTTCACAGTTTTCTTTGCTATAACTTTTTCATTATCATTTCAAAACCCTTCTTTATCAAAAATAAAGGAAACCATTTCTAAAGTATAGGCTTTTTTAAAATGCCTGTAGACCTCTGGGGAAATGTTGATTATGTATAGTCCTTTTATTTTCATCTACAGCTGTTCATATAAAGGGAATTTCCTCATAATTATTTTCCACTTAAATGTTGAGTAAAGTGTTGTTCCACTGATGTGATTACATAAGTGTTCCTTTCTTTTGCATTCTGATTTGTTGGAATATTGCAGTAACAGTGACATGTTTCCATTCTGAGAAAAGCCTAGGGCTGCTTTAGTATTATTCCAAATGATTGAAATTGCCATCTTGCTGACTTTCCCTTAGGCAGCTTAAGGCCTGTTTACTTTTGTATTTGTTTCACATGTTCCCTCTGAGTTTGGCCTGCAAGACATCATTACCTGGTTTGACAAGACAGTTGGAATAAGATACATATTTTATTAATTCACTTTTATTACTCTCTGGTCATCATAAACGCCTAGACTGTATATGCTTACATTTAGTAAATACAGAAAAATGTTTACAGATGAGAAATTTAAAATTGTAATCTCATAATACTGATTTCTTTAAAACCTTCAAATAAGTAATTTGGTAGGCAGTTTGCAAGATAACTTGTTCTCTTAATGATTTTACCTGATATGTTTTGCTTAAAAATAGAATATATTTTATTGTTTATAGTACATTCATTCTCTGTTTAGATCAGTACAGATATTAATAACAATGAACAACATTTTGGTTTTAAAAAGGTATATAGCACCTGCACACAAAGTAGAGGAATAAAGTTTTAGAAACTATTTGCATAAAACCATTCTGTTTAGAACCTAGGATCATAGTGGTAAGTTGCCAGACCTTAATATGTAAAGCCAGGGGTCACAGCTGTGAAAGGTATTCCCTGAGGAGAACTGAAGAAAATAGAGGAAAGAATTGGAATCCTCTTATGGCAGTAAAATTGCAGTTTTCTCAATGGTGGAAATGTACAGACTACTGTGAGGAATTCTGCATCAGTAGTGAATTCTTTCTTGATG